GTTACTATGCTGTTTTATTTTGCAGGAAAATACTTGGCAGATAATTAACAAAATCTTATGCAAGAATCTGGAGGATTCATATAATGGAGAACTGTTGTATGAGAAACAGAATTTAATTTTGGTTTGATGAAAACAAACCAAAACCTGCACTTGGGATATATCTGCTGGAAATGTCGATGACTTTCAGCAATGATTTCCCTCACACGATACCATGATGACTGGTCCTACAGTATTTACTTCTAGGTGTAATATTGTTAATGGTTTTAAAATGTAATTACTGTATTTGTAAATTGTACTCATTCCAGTAAGGCAGTTAGATACTTGAGTTTTAGCATTTTACCATTCCTGAAATGGATGTAATTTAAACTGTGGTATGTAAATTTAATAGTAGTACTGTCAAATGGCACAATGCTTACAGAGGTAGACTGCATTTTGTCAATATATAAAATTTAAATATAAATATTGATAGCTGTCATAAAGGGGGTGCCACACACAAAGAAAATTAAGTGGAACCAGGAAAAGAAGTTCCTTTTCTTCAGTCTTTAGTATGTTTTACTCTAGTGCTAAATAGAAATTCTATCTTCAAATATTTAGTGGGTTAAATTCAGAAACTATTTCAGAAAAAAAATTCTAAGGTTACAGCATATTCAAAGAGAAGCATTAATTACCACTTTTTAAAAAGCTTTTTTTTCAAACTGCAAATTTCATAAAAATGCAAACTGTGTAAACAGGGCCTCTTATTTTTATAACTTGTGTAAAAAGGGAAAGCAATTCATATTTAAAGTTTAAGTATATGAAATTATAATCAAGAGTAAAGAGATGTTGAAGTCTTAACTACTCGAGTACCCCATCTCTCCACAGTTTAGCTTATGTGGAGATTACTGAATCATCAGATTAAAACCAAAATTGTGATTTTAAAATTTCAAGACTTTCCAGAGTTGAACTGGTTAACATTTGCACAATAACTCTAAACAGAGGGTCCCTCCCATCCAGCATGGAGAATGATACCTACCACCCATCTGCCTCTTTACCCACAGGAATCAAAATACTGAGTCTCAAAATCTCAACAACAACAAAAAATTTAGTCCCCTATTTAAATCCAGATGGAGAATTTTAATCAGCATTATTTATATCATTGGGGAAGGAGGAAAAAAATAAGCTTTGTTAAGTGAAATTCTAACCACAGTATTGTGCAATAAATTTCCTTTCAGATAAGGTTCATTGTCTGTAACTATAAATCTTTGCCATTCTTGGGGAATCAAAAAAAGAGTGGATAAAAATGTATGTTATGATTTCATTGTTGCAAGGTATAATAAAAACTGTGATTATTCAGTCTGGCCTCATAACATGGGAATTTAGAATGGAGAAGCACTTCTTAAGGGGGCCCGGTTGTAAAATCTTTCTCCATTACAATCTAAAAACATGAATCTTCCTTTAAGTCTTAGAACTTATTTTAAACATAAACCAATTTCTATCCTAGGTTACACTATTAAATAACTGTAATTATTAAGTCGTTACATTTATCATTAGTTGTAAATTTTATTTTCACATTCCCTCATATTTGACAAAAAACTTTTAGCCCCTTTAAATTTTAGAATCAAACTAAAATTTTGTAAGTCTTACTTTTAAAATGAGGTTGTGACTGGCAATTGTTTATAGTGGAACTTTTTAAACTAATGTTTGTACTTCTCATTCAGTGGTTGCTATCAAGAGAATGTTTGAAATGATCCGTATTATCTTAGAAGAATTCTTACTGTCCAAACAAACTCTTGGTTAGCTCCCTAAGCAGTCTAGTGTTAAAGTTTTTTTGGACAAATAATTAATATACTCATTTTAAGTAAAGATATTAATTTGATTTTGAATCCAAAATAGAAAATGCCAATTTTTAAATCCCATGAAACATGGGGAAATTTCAACACTGAAACCAATGAAAAGTAAATAGTAGAAAGGTGAGATTTATCCAGCACATGCATATAAAAATGTGTTTTTAAGAAATCAGTTCCTGAAAAAAAATATTGAATACTAACACAGAACATATTAAAAATGTGTAAATATTACTGGTTCTCATGTCTTGCTCATTATATTTTATTTTATTTTATATAGTTCTTGAGTGAATTAGCAATTAAACACAAGGATTTTTCTTTTCAAAGAATAATTTTGTTAATATTGTAAAGTGTGATTTAAGTCATAGATTACAATAATCTCTAACATTATTCAAATGTTTCCAGGAACTAAACTTGAAACTATGATGATATCCTGTGATTCCATAAGTGATCTTTAAGAAACAGAATTAAAGTCAATTATTTCAAAATTATTAAACATTGAATAACCAGAACTTCAATAGCAAATACATCCTTTCTCCTTTCAGAAAATAGGTCAAATAATAACACAATACACAATACACTCACATCAGGAATTTAGATTTTGGTGTCTTTTTTTTAAATCCTGTAGTTTATAATCTCCTGTTACACTTGTATCCACAGTACTGTACAATAAGAGTTCATGTTAGGAAGTATAATCCTAGACAACGCAAGAATCTCAGTTATAAAAGAAACATTGTCAGGTTCATTATCAATTCCTAAAACAAAACAAAATGTGCTGGTATATATTCAGATTTTCAATACCAGGGGTTAAAATAAAAATAAAGGGTTCTCCTTAACCAGAACACCATTTCCTAAGCATTATGATTAAAAAAGATTTTTCTCTAACAAGATAGAAAGTATGAATGATACTGCTTTATTTTGGCAACATGGAAAATATGGTTTTTTCAAATAAATTTCATATTTTCATGTTATTTTTAAAAAATAAATTATTGTTAAGAATTAGTCTGAATTTTATCATAATTGGAACATATAATTCCAAAGAATTAAATTTTTAATTATTTTTAAAGCTCTATTCTTCTCTCCACCTACAGTCAAAATGAAAATTCGCTGGATGGTATTTGGGAAAACATTTCACCTGTAAAGAAAGAATGTTCACATTTCAAGTGGTTTTGAGTGAGTAGAGAGGAACCCTCTCCAGAAAGTCAAACTACCATTGTTTTCCGTTTTTAAGTATTTTTGCTCAATCTCAATCTGCAAGGTATTTGAGGCCATAATTACTCATATGTCCCTTTCCAAATACTTTTCAGAGAAGCCTGGTAACTATACTAGTTCTGCCACTAACTCCTGCTGTGTGACCTTGGACAAATCACTGCCCCGAAAAGGTTTCTCATCTTTGGAATGAGAGATTGGGATTGCCAGTGGTTTTCAAGATTTTCTTAACAGCTGAACTTTTTTCTACTAAAATTGCACACAAAGTCCTGTTACACAAAATAGCTCAAAGCAATGAAGGAATTCCTTCAGCAGCTTAAATCTGGGTCCTCCAGAGCAGTGTTTAAACACATAATAACTTATCAATGAGCTATAAAGTTTCTCCCACCTCAGAACTTCCATGATTCTACTTGACTCAGAGAGATCCACCTTCAGGGGCTTTATCAAGAAACTTGAACAATCACAGTAACTGATAGACAATAAAAATTGATATTTACTGGAGTGCTTACCACGTACCAGTCACTATAGATATTCGCTCACTTCATCTTCGTATCAACCCCCAAACTCTAGATACTCTTTTTAATTCCTCTTTTACAAATGGTGACATTGATACTGAGATTAATTAACTTGCCCAAAGTGACATAGCAGCTGGAAGTAACCCATTTATCTTGACTACAAAGGAAGCCCCTGATCTGCTTCACTTGTTCATTCTGGGAAATGAACTCTTCTGTTTTATTTTACTATACGTATTCTATTTGCATACCCAGGTAAAAGGTGCTGTGAAAAAACAGTACCAAAATAAGGATAATTCCAAGAGCAAAATTGTTGGAAAACAGTTTCTCAGAGCATGATTTGTGGACCACTTGAATTATCATTTATTTAAGAAGGGCAATGATTTTGACTTAGTCATCACTATGGCCCCAGAACCTAGAAGATAGTAGGCATCAATAAATTTATATTGAATGAATAAATCTGTAGGAATGGAGTTTAAGAATATGTATTTTGATAAGTACCCAAAATCTGAGAATCATTGCTCCCAGTAGCTCTCTCAAATACTTCTTAGTTCTGACATTTTTATCAGATATTAGACATTAAATTATAACTTCAATACCATTTTTCTAGTGGGCTTATTTTTTCATTCAGTCCGTTTAGTTTCCTCTACTTTAAAAAAAAAAAAAGAGGGATTTTTCTAGGAAAAACCCTCTTACCCTTGGAGTTCTTGTAATGCCTATCTCGGTCTCAAAATGGCCTGAAATGCATTCTCACATTTTCATATTTCAATCCTTTTCATCAATGTCTTAAATGATTAAACAAGAAGTAGGGAGGTTGCAAGCTGTCATTCATTCCAAATACAATGTTCTAAAAAATGGCTCCCTCCCTGCAAGGGCACAGACATCTAACTTGTGAATTGACAGTATTTATTTTGTAGGCCTTTGATCTGAGTGCTTTATAAGCCTGGACCAGTGTCATTCCGAACAGTTGCACCAATCTTTTTCATTTTTACATTTGTCTTTCCAAATAATCACAGTCTGTTAGTTAAAGTTGAATAACACAGTAAAACATGCAGATCTCCACTAAGGACATGAGTTTACACATTATAATTTGGGGTTTTTTTTAAAGCTTTGTTTTTTAAAAAAGATTATGCATTTGAGCAAAATCCCATTCAGTCTAAACATACTCATTTTGCTACATGGTTTTCTGATCAACAATTTTTTTAAATGAAAGCATAATTTTTATGATATCAAAATGAGGGTGAGCTCTATGTATCGCTTTATAAGTTAATATAAAAAATTAAAAGTTAATATACATCAACATGTTTCCTTAACATGAGTCAAATTAAAATGTTGATATGAATGAATAAATCAATCCTTGTTACACTGATTAAAGACCCACCCAACCCCTTTTCTGTGTCCATTTCTCTCTTGAGGATTTATTGTATTTTCTTGCTCCTTCCATTTTTTTTATTCATTTGGCAAACAGTATTTAAATGCCATTTGCTCATTTGTGAGTCAAACATGGCTATCATTATGTTACTTTTTGTCCATGGAATATATAGATTCGTGGGGAGGAGGGCATACTTAGTGGTAGAGTGCAAGCCTTGCACGCACGAGGTCCTGGGTTCAATCCCCAGTACCTCCATTATAAATAAATAAATAAACCTAATTACCTTCCCCCCTGAAAAAAAAAGAAAGAAAGAATATATAGATTCACAATGAGATAGGAGTACAATATTTAAGTCTCCAAATAATAAAAACAAACAAAACTCACTAGCATTTCTACTGCTTTGGTGTTCTGCCATCTTCTGTAGGCTAGCGCTGCATTTTTAATATTTAATTGAATACAAAATGTCCTTCTTGAAGGACTGTCCAATTTTAGAGTCCACTGAGTTGACCACAGTCAGAACTTTAATTGCCCCTAATGTTTAATATCTGATTTCTATCCAAAATGAGTATTCCTAGGAAAGACCATCACCTCCTTGTTGACATTCACCATGTGTATAATAATGTATTCTCTAGGTTTACTTCTGAAATTATTTTCCCTTTGATTTATAGTATTTTTAATTGTTTCCTTCTAGCCCTAGGGTAGTCATTGTCTATTCTAAACACATCTTTTAACCTTAAAGAAAAGATGTTTCAATGAAAAGCAAATATATTTGCATGTGTCTCATAAAAGAAAATATGCAAAGGATATTTCTACTGCATTCACTTGTACTCCAGTATTTTCCAAATCCTGTTCAGGACTACTGGTTCTGGCAAATGTTCACTGTGATCTGAGAACAAATGATCCTAAACCACAGTTCCCACTCCTTGGACATTGATAATTAATGTTATGAAGCTTAAGAAAGTTTTGGATCAGCAAAACACTTTTTTTTTAAACACTTCTTGAAGAAACTTCAGAAAAATTTTCTTTCAACACCAGTTTATATTTTTTTCAGCAACTGCAAATAATAAAGCCAGGAATGCTTTGAAAAGATGCTTCTAATTTTTTGTTTTAACTCTAAGGGAAATTTCTGTCACTTTAAATGAACTAGTATCTACTTTAAATTTCATTAGTATATCTTAGTGAATTTAACTTTATCACCTGAAATATTCCAAACAAAACAACGAAATAATTTTACTATTTTAATTTTTAAGTATTATTTCTAAGATCTGCACCTATGACCAGTACATCAGGCTTCTCTTTGTTGAAGATGGTCCAAATTCTTTGCAGAGTGGAAGCAATGCAAGTGAATAATCTTTGATAATTCTTTATCTAAATGTGTTAAGAAACTGAATCATAATAGGTTGATGGTGACAGTATTTTTACATAACCTTAGAGAAGTTATATGAAAAACATTTCAGTTTAAACTAAGAGAAATGCACTATTTGCTATGGATTTTGCAGACTCTACACTCTATTAATGAGCATTACATACTTCTTTTTTTGCTTTGCTTTATTTTGCATATCAACAGTTTTTACAAAAAAATCAAATTTCTTTTTAAAAAATCCTGAGTGAACTGTATATTATCAGACAGAAAAGAATAAAGCCAAACTCCTTTACATTTCTCTAAATGTAGCTCAATTTTAATTCATTCAGGGTCCATGAATCAGCTTGATGAGTCAGAAGCCATTTATCATTTTAAAATATTCCATTGAGTATATCATGCAAAGGTTAATTCCATCTCACTTGTTCAGTTCTATATTACTCCATTGACATATTCTCTTTTTTTGTTCTTTTTGGCAAAACAAATTTTTAGTGTTATTCGTAAATCATTACTCTAAAATATTTTAAATAATACACCAAATGACTATCACTGGGATCCTCGTCCTAAGGTCCAAAGCCAGGTTTTTTCTTTTCCTTCTGAGACCCTAGGATGATAATTTTTATAGCTGTGATTTTGCAGGTCAGTATTTAGTTCTTGCTTTTTTAAATGGGTATGCATGATAGAGACTGGCTGATGTTTGATCTCTCTCTGCGTGTCTCTTTCAGTCTAAAGGAGTTGGAACATTGCCGCTGGATAGTTTTTCTTGAAAAAGCCAAGTGTTGGTATGATGATATGCCAACCTCATCAATGAGCAGGGCTTCGCTTCAGGCCAAGCAGTCATTTATAAAGCTGGCTTTCTAAACTGTTTGAATAGTATTGGGTTTCAATATACAAAGGTTTGTTTTCACTTTGCACAGGAAAAGAACTGTATAAAGAAATAATCAAATTTTAATTTTCTTGCCTACAAAGTGGCAGTGTAAGCCTTTTTTTTTAATATACTTTAACAATAAGAGAAACTAAGAAAAGAATCTCAGAGAATTTTGCTGTGTCTTTAAAGGTAATAAAATTCAGCCAATTGTCTTTCTTAAGGAAAATGCTGTTAGTGTGTGCTTTGAGTTTGTGGTAGCTTTTATTTAGAGTCTCCATGATCTTTGTAGCAAAAGTAAACAATGCCTTTATGACCTTGGGTGGAGTACATATTTTCACAAAAATACCTTGAGCATAAAATATTTCTAAAAAGAATTGTGGGCTAAAATACTCAAGCATACTCTAAAAAGTTATTTTAAATGTTGATGGCTGGCTTTTTTTCCTACATGTGTAATTCAACAGAGAATACTTTATTCTCACAGCTGTTACTGCTTTGTCTGTGATGAAAGCTTTACTGCTTCC